CAGGACGAATCACTGCTGTTTCCGGAATAGCAGATGAGTCCTGAAAAACTTCGTTAGGTACTTGTGACAAACACTATTTTTTGTCATACGCTTTTTAGAATTCTTCAGAACGCTAAAATTTGCAAAATTTCCTTAATTTATGAAATCATAAAGGTGCATCCAGAAAGAAAAAAAATCCTAAAAAGAAGCATTTTACGTACTTGAATGGGTCCGTGAAAAAGCTGTTTTTGGGAGCGTATGACAAAAATTATATTATTGAGCCGTCGTCAGCAGAATACAATAGTCCAATTTTACTAGTTCCTGAAAAATCAACCAATGGCAAAAAGGAATGGATACTTTTTATAGATTTTAGAGCTATAAATCAAAGTAAGCTTGTAGCCGACAAATTCCCTCTGCCAAGAATAGATGATATACTGGACCAATTGGGCAGAGCAAAATGGTTTTCAACGCTAGATTCAAAGGCAGGCTTTCATCAAATACCTCTCGAAGAAAATTCTCGGGACATTACAACTTTTAGCACAGATAATGGAACATACCAGATTTACAAGGTTACCGTTTGGTTTAAGAGTGAGCCCAAACAGCTTCCAAAGAATGATGAGTATTGCATTTGCGGGCATTACACCTGAAAAAGCATTTTTATATATGGACGATATTATTGTCATATAGGGTGTTCCAAAAATCACCACACAAAATCTTGAAAATGTTTTTGAAACATGCAGAAAATATACCTAACTTAAAACTAAATCCCGAAAAATGCACATTTTTCCAACAACAAGTTTCATATCTAGGACACAGAATTAGAAATAAAGGTATTTTACCAGACGATGATGCAAAGTATGAAATCATAAACAAATACCCAAAACCGACAGATGCTGATGGAGTAGAACGTTTTATTGCGTACTAATATACTATTGAACTGTTCAGGTAAGACATTGACCTGAAACGTGTTCTTTTTAAACCAATGACAATGAGAATAACTCACGTTTGTATGAGTCAGGTTAGTATCGTACATATTGGTGAATAGATGGCTGAGTCCACCCATAAGTTCCACAACAATCCACTCGTTTATACTTGAATAACTTGTCACAATATATTACTAGTTTGTTAAAGTAACATTACTAATTCCTGTTGAAAGGCAAATTGACAAAAAGTGGATAATCTTACAAATTCTGACTTTATATAATAAGTTATTGTTTAAGTACAAATAAGTGGATTGTTGCGAAACTTATGGGTGGACCTCTGCGGGACGAGCGCAGCGAGTTCCGCAGCCATCTACTCACCAATACACTATTGAACTGTTCAAGTTAGACATTCACCTGAAACGTGTACTTTTTAAACTAATGAGAATAACTCACATTTGAATGAGTCAGGTGAGTATCGTAATTAAACCACATATTGATGAATAGATGGCTGCGGAACTCGCTGCGCTCGTCCCGCGGAGGTCCACCCATAAATTCCGCAACAATCCACTCGTTTGTACTTGAATAACCTTGTCACATTATGTTACCAGTTTGGTGGAATCGTATTACTAATTCCTGCTGAATGGCAAATTGACAAAAAGTGGATAATCTTACAAATTCTGACTTTATATAATAAGATACTGTGCATATACAGGGTGTTTTTTTATATATTGACACCCCACTTACAGCCTTCACTTTTACAAGTAAATGAAAGGTGTGAATACAAAAGTTGTACAGTATTGGCTAAATTTTTAAAATCCATGGTCAGAAACAAAAATTGAGTGTCAGAAATGTGAAATGTTGCATGCTTTCAGCTTTTTTCAAATGGGATGCCCTATATTTGGTTCTATTCTTGAAGAGCACAATTTCCCGATTCCAAAAATATATAGTTTATCTATATTTGGTTGAGCCGACTCCAACATATTTGGTTCTAGAAATCTTAGAAATACTTAATTTCTTTTTTTTTTCAAAGATAATTCCCCACGTCAAAAATTTAGTAACTATGTTGGCAACACAAGCCTTTTCTACATAAAAAATTGAAAGCATTGACACTTTTACATTGTATTGCCAACATAATGTCATTTTGACTTTTATCTTTTAAAAAAAAAACAGACCTTATCAGAGAAACCAAGTACATCAAATTTTACCTGCAGCTTTCACCTGTATAGGTAGGGTAGAATGGTTCACAAAATCAGTAGTAGGATAGTATTTTTACAATTTTTGGAGCCGAATATATGAAAGACTGTTCAATTAAATATAGACAAACAATATATTTTTGGAATCAGAGGCATTGTGCTCTTCAAGAATATGGAATGAAATATAGGGCATCCCATTTAAAAAAAGCTGGAAGCATGCAAAATTTCACATTTCTGACATTCAAATTTTGTTTCTGACCATGATTTCTAAAAATTCAGCGAAAATTGTACAACTTTTGTATTTACCTACACCTTTCTTTTACCTGTAAAGGTAAAGGCTGTAGGTGGGGTGTCAATACATAAAAAAAACGCCCTATACCTACCTATTTAAAATCACCTTGTTCTCCTAAATAGTTCCCCCATTCCCATATTTTTATGGGCCATTCCTTCGAAAAACCGTATCTTGCACAATGCGCTACCAAAATTAACCCAAACTAACTCAATCTGGCTTACTTTAACTTCTGCACCCCCTTTCAAAAGGCCAAAAATGCATTCTCTTAGATTTTGATATTTTTCTCAATAACTACTAAAGAGAAAATCATGAAACTTTTAAGATAAAAAGAGGAAGGTTAGGAGCTCATTATACTAAAATTTCAAATTTATCAAGTGAAAAATAACAAAATGGGAAATTAATGAAAATCAACTTGCAAAATGCATCCTCTTAGATTATATTTTTTTTTTCTGGAAAACTACTAGAGGAAAAATTATGAAACTTTCAGGAAGAAAAGGGAAAAATTACCAACTGATCATACTAAAATTTGAAACTTTTCCAGCGAAAAATACTAAAATAAGAAATTATTGAAAATCAACTTGCAAAATCTAAATTAAGCGAAAATGCATTCTCTTACATTTTGATATGTTTATGGAAAACTATTGAAGAGAAAATTATGAAACTTTTGGGATAGATAGAGGAAGGTTAGGAGCTCATTACATTAAAATTTCAAATTATCCAGTGAAAAATAACAAAATGGGAAATTAATTAATATTAACGTGCAAAATCTAAATTAAGCAAAAATGCATTAATTCTCCTACATTTTGATATTTTTCTAAAAAACTATGAAAGGGACAAATATGAAACTTTCAGGAGAAAAAGAGGAAAATTAGGAGCTCATCATACTAAAATTTCAAACGTTTCCAGTGAAAAATAACAAAATAAAAAATTAATAAAAATCAACATACAAAATCTAAATTAAGCAAAAATGCACCCTGTTACATTTTATTTCTTTTCTGGAAAACCACTAGAGGGAAAATTGTGAAACTTTCAAGAAAAAAAGAGAAGAGTTAGGAGTTCATCGTATTAAAATTTCAAAATTTTCTCTCTTAATAAAAATTAAATTAAGTAAAAATGCAATAGGTACCCTCAAATAAATGACTCCATAATATGCATATGGTACCATAATGTGAATGAGAACAAAGTCCCGGTACCACCATATGGAACCAGTTTTTTAAAATCTAACTGTCCTTTGAAAAATAATATTGTGGGATCCTTTCAACCAACAAGTTCCCAAAAATAATGTGTGAAATTTAAACTACTTTGTATGATAATGATACAAATAATAATTGTAATTTGCCAATAAAAAATAATACAAAAAAATTGTGCTTAAAGGAGAATTTAATCGAGAGAAAATCTGTAATCTGAAATAGGAAAAGTTGTATAGTGAAACACGGTCATCATCTGTATAACGTGAAACAGAGCGATGTGTGCAAAATTGCAGAAAAAGATCACGAACATGATGTGTGTTTTAATGATCATTTGTTGTATAAATCAATTAGAAAATTTATGAATCGAATTCATTAGCATTGTAGAAAGGTACCTACTATTTTTTGAATTGCGTGTAGGTACCAACAAATTTGCTAGAAACAATACCATCGAGGGATATTTCTGCAATTTGCAAATTTTTGAAAAATCCTTCTATACTAACTCACCTCATTCCCAATTATTAAAACAAATCCAACTTTTCCATTAAAGTTACGTACAATCCATTTGGACACAACTTTTGTAAACTCTTTACATTTGAACACTTTTTCACTAAATGATTATTAATATTTCTCCAACACATCAAATTTTTCCTTAAAACTAGACTAGAACACACACACTATACAAGATTTCTTATAATTATTATTACTCTTGGTGTAAAGAAAGTCTAAAAGCTTATGGACATTCATCGAAAACAAGAATGAAAATAAAGTCGCGCTCCTCTGAGTTCTCGTTTAAGTGGGTTTTGAATGGTTGCCGTTTAATGAACAAGTTTCTTGTTTGGGTCACAGTCTCTCAGCCGTTCGCATTTTTTGGGTAGCAGCAAGAACGTGCTCATTTCACTTCGATGATATTGAAATCTGCGGTTTGAACTTTATATCGTCTGCTAGTTCTGGGTGACGAAGTTTTGTCTCAACTCGAAAAACTAGCACACGAAGCCAATAAGTGTTAATTTTTATAATTTACATAAAACTGGTCGTCTGTAGGTATATATGAATTATTATTGAAATTTTGTATATCCTGCTTCGTTACACTTAGGTATACAAAAACTTTCTTCGTTTCGCTGGTTCGAAGAGGAAATACCTACATTTATCTTTGCCGGAGGCTGTAGATTATAATTATTATTTCCTTTTCTTCGCGAATTTATTTTTATATTTTTGAAAATATATTGACTTCATACTGATGTTATATTAAAGTACCTAATATGTATGTGTGTATATATACATAGTAACATATCTAAAACCATCAAGCTACACATGGAAAAGCAGCTGGTGAGTTAGTTAATCCAAAAGGCAGTACCTTAAAGATCTCTCTATAAAGTGACCTTATGTTGAAGCAAAGGATAAATGTTTTCTAAGAAACTCTAAAAGTAAAAAAACATGTTTCGAGAAAGTCAATTTTATTCAAAACTATATCATCAATCAAATCCATCCCCTCGTAGCAGCCAATTCAACTATAACCCCCAACTTCTCCCTCTGCATTTCCCCTATATTATTGATCATATTCTCCAAATTCTCAAATATGTCCACTTCTCCCAAAAGCGAATCCGGCCCGGTACCTTTAGGCCCGTACACAATCGTGGTAAAGAAAAACGCGTGCCTGCATTCGCTTTTAAGTGCCATCCTTTTCACTTCATCCAAATAATCTTGGTAAGACAACCTCAATTCTGGAATATTGAGTTTTACGAAAATCGATGTCAATTGGTCATAGTAATATCTTAAAAGTTCATCAAAATGGTTGATTTGTACTTCACTTTTGACACTGATTAAAAGGAAAAACACTACATCAATAGCGTAAGAAGAATAGCCTAAAAATTGAAAATCTAGTAGCATGGTTAATGGTTCCCTTTGTTCTCTTAGCTTCACCATAACGTTATTCAACCAAAAATCCCCATGAATAACAGTATTCCAAGGCTCCTTTTCCTCTTTATAAGCAGGAGGCCCTAAAGCAGTCTCCCTTAGAGCCTCGATTTTGGCCCTATATTAAGCTGGTATTTGCAGCATCAAATCCATAACCAGACGCTCTGGATTGAAACAACCAAGCGCTGGAGGTTCTGGATTTGGTAAACTATCCATGAATTGTTTGATTTTGTGGAACATTTTTGGGTTTTTGAATTTTGCTGCCAAAGTTATTGCATGGAACGAGGCTATGGTTTTGAGGAAGGCTTTACTGGATGTCAAATTGAAGCCTACATATCTGTCTTCGTTTTTGAAGCCTAAAATAATAAAATTTAATTTAAGTACCTACTACTAGATATTATTATGATTAGGTACCTTTAACTATTAAATTTTCCAGCAACAAAATAGCTTCTTCGTCTGGAAAAGTTTTTAGTGGATCCAAACTAAATCTGGAACCCAAACAAATAGGAAAATAGTCGCACATAATTCCAAATTCATTGGCGATTTGTTTGAATAACGGTACCATTTCCAGGTACCATCGGATTTCATTTTTCATTGCCAAGCTAGTAATTCTAAGACCATCTTGGTTGGCTGGTTTTGGTATGCGTTTAGCTACAGTACTGATTGTTTTACTAAGTCCATTGTCTATTGAAACTTCAAAATCCACTTTGAAGACTAAGCTAAGGTAGTTTTCGCCCGGGGCTGTTAGTCTGCTAATGTTGATGTTTGTAATTTTGCCATTTGTGCACTTGAGGACTTTTTGGATGTCTTTGATTGTAAACTCTTGATTAACCATGACTGGAATTTATAAATCGTATGATCTTTATTGGTATAACCTTCGCTTTTGCAAAATCATTCAAAGATGCCTAATGGTTTGAATGATGTGGAATTTGCATATACATTTACTTCATGTTGGCGTAAATTGTATTTGCACTTTAATTATAAGGCGAATAATTTTATAATTATTCTCGGCTCTTATTGAATATAATCGTGACTATGCCAATTTTGTCATGATAATGAATGAGAAATAATGGTAATTATTTGAAATTTTGATCCTGAAGATTTCTGAAGTTTCTTACTTATCTGGTTTTAGGTTTTGGAAATCTGGATACTGAAGAAGAAGTTCTGGAGGAAAGATTTTAATGAGTAATTATAATGCCATGGGATGTTAAAACATAACATTCCTATTATATATCTATTTTGATGATGAAATCTTTAAGTTGGTAAGTATCTAGATGAATATCTCATTATTATAAGATTTGGATTTTCTTAGAATATTTTGTATATCATTCAATGTATTATTAAGGTATCCATCAAGAAATATGTTTTTAGGACATTTTTTAAACATTATCATCAGAGACAAGAAAATGCGGATTCAAAAACGATTTATCGCAAAGTACCTAATACTTTATTCTTCTACTAGTATGCGGTACTAAAAACCTTGAAATTACCTTCAAATTTTTAACTAGTGATTCAATGTTAAGGTGACTCCTAAAAAGGGAAGAACAAAGGATTGAAATTAAGAATTTTCTAGTTGTATACCTACCTAAAGTTTGCTGAAATATTTCTAAAAAATATATTAATTAAAGTACTTACCCATCAACTATAGTAAACAAAGATTTTCAACTATGAACACAATACTAAAACTATAAGTAAGTACCAAATAATTTGTTTCCTCATAGTGCTCTGGTACTGGGTACCATCATTATATACCCCCTTCTCAATTTCCCATTAAATCTATACATCCTTGAATAAGTTTTATGCCTATTATTTCAGTGAATGGACTCGCGGTGTTTTATTTCAAATAAATCATTGCGGAGTGGTAATTTTGCTTTAAAAAATCATTATAGAAATGATGCAGAAACCAAAAAATAAATTGTTATGTTGTATTACTTAGTTTCAATGCAAAAATGCATACATTTACCAACAAAATTATATTATAGTGGCAATTTATTACTATTCCAGGCTCTTGAATTTCTTTTTCCTTTTTAGAAGAATGAGGAACATTCAAAAGCCTGGAATAGAAAAAAAAATTGTTAAATTTTCCTTGGATTTCTTCTCTCTATTCCCATTTCTCTTTTCTCTAGAGTCAATTTGTGACTATTACAGGCTCTTTGATTCTTGAATTTCTGTTTTCTTCAAAATTTGTTTTTACAAAAGACTAGGGAAGATTCAAAAACCTGGAATAGAAAAGGAAACTGATCAATTTTCCTGGAATTTCTACTCTTTTTTACCATTTCTCTTCAGTGTAAATTTTTTATTATTCCTGGCTCTTGAACGCCTGGTTTCCTTCTAAATTTCCTTATATAAAAGAATAGGATCATTCAAAAGCCTGCAGGCAGATTGCTGTAGAATTTAAGTTCTACAGCAATCTGAAATTCGCTCGTAAAAACTTTCTGAAAGGCGTTTTGTTTGTTTTAACCTGAATCCTATAAGATTCTGGAACTTTTCAAAATGTTTCTGAAGATTCTAGAGTATTTTGAAACTTCCTAGAATGAGTTTCAAACTTTTGAATTGTTCTAAAATGCTTTTGGAAATTGTAAATCGGTTTTTGAATGTTTTGGGACATTCTAAAATGGTTCTGAAATTTCTAAAATGTTCTGAAGCACTACAGGAAATGCCTTTGGAACTTCTGAATTGAATTTCAAGTATTTTTGAACTTTCCAAAAGGCTTATAAAAGTTCCAAAGTGTTCTGTAACATTCTAAAATGGTTTCCAGTATTTTAAATTGAATGAGAAACGAATTCTGTGGGAAATTTTTATAGATATCTTCCCTGAGATGTCCACAAACGACATTCAAGACTTTTTGCTTACGTCTTCAAGGTGTCTTAAAGACATCTGAAAGATGCCGTATGTTGCTTAAAATCCTTAAAGACGTCTTAAAGACTAAAACATTCTAAAACTTAACGAGATATCTTGACTTGAAGACGTCTTTCAGGCCTGGCTGTACCACATATAGCTTAGTTGTCTATAAGATATGAATTCACGACATCTTATGGCAACTTTTAAGACGTCTTTTTTTGTCTTCAGACGTTCAGACGTAATGGAGATTCAGAAAAAAACGTCTTTAAGACTGTGTGCCGTCTAGGTTCCTAGATATTGTATTAGCAAAATTCTTTGGAAATGATTCATGGCTTATTTTATAACAGAATTATATTATTTTTGAAGCCTTTCAATGTAATTAAGCCCTAATTAAAGCCAAATTAGTTCCCTATGCATATGGTATTTATTTGATTTTGGCGGGTATTTTTGAGCCCATGTGTACAGTGGCGTCATCTCGTGACTGTTAACTCTAGCATTATTAGTTAAATTGTTTAAAAATGATTTGGAGGCCTATTTTATAACAAAATAATGTTATTTTTAATGAGATTAAACGTAATCAGACCCTAAATAATGCCAAGTAAGTATTTATTCAATTTTGGGGCTCATGAGAATTCCCTTAAATTCATTATAGCCAAATCGTTTGAAAATGATTTACAGGTTTATTTTATAACAAAATTATGTTATTTTTCATGTCTTTTAACGTAATTCGGCCCTAATTAAAGCCAAGAGAAGTCATTTATTTGATTTTGGGTATTTTTGGGGTTCACCTGCATAGTGGCGCCATCTCGGGACAGTTAAGTGTAGCGTCATTAGCCAAAGTGTTTGAAAAAGATTTACAGGTTTATTTTATAACAAAATCATGTTATTTCTTATGTCTTTCAACGTAATTCGGCCCTAATTAAAGCCAAGAGAAGTCATTTATTTGATTTTGGGTATTTTTGGGGGTTCACCTGTATAGTGGCGCCATCTCGGGACAGTTAAGTGTAGCGTCATTAGCCAAAGTGTTTGAAAATGATTTACAGGTTTATTTTATAACAAAATTATGTTATTTTTTATGTCTTTTAACGTAATTCGGCTCTAATTAAAGCCACGAGGAGTCATTTATTGATTTTGGGTATTTTTGGGGTTCACCTGCATAGTGGTGCCATCTCGGGACAGTTAAGTGTAGCGTCTTTAGCCAAAGTGTTTGAAAATAATTTACATGCTTATTTTATAACAAAATCATGTTATTTTTTATGTCTTTTGACGTAATTTGGCCCTAATTAAAGCCAAGAGAAGTCATTTATTTGATTTTGGGTATTTTTGGGGATCACCTGCATGGTGGCGTCATCTCGAGACAGTTAAGTGTAGCGTCATTAGCCAAAGTGTTTGAAAATGATTTACAGGCTTATTTTATAACAAGATCATGTTATTTTTTATGTCTTTTAACGTAATTTGGCCCTAATTAAAGCCAAGAGAAGTCATTTATTTGATTTTGGGTATTTTTGGGGTTCACCTGCATAGTGGCGCTATCTCGGGACAGTTAAGTGTAGCGTCATTAGCCAAAGTGTTTGAAAATGATTTACAGGCTTATTTTTTAACAAAATTATGTTATTTCTGATGCGTTTAAACGTAATCAGGTCCTAAATAATGCCAAGTGAGTATTTATTCGATTTTAGGTAGGTACTTTTGGGTCTCATGTGAATCCCCTTGCTTCCTTATAGCCAAGTTGTTTGAAAATGATTTAGAGGCCTATTTCAAACCAAAATATGTTAATTTTAATGCATTTCGAGGCTCTAATGAATGCTAAATAAGTTATTTATTCCATTTCGAGTCTTTTTCTATCAAATTTTATAATTACAGATTCCTGTATTAAATTAATAGTTTTTCTTTACCATCTCTTTTCAAATCAACAAGAAAAACAAAGATAGCCACCCTAACAATTTAAATCTAACAGCAACTGCCAACAATTGACATTTGACTTAAGAGTGACACTGACAATTAAAAAGGGGCGCAGAAGCGTTTCTCAACACACAAGGGAAAGGTCAAAAACTGTTTTTTTTCGCCCCGAATTTTCCAAGTTTGGGCCCCAAAATCGAGTGAAAACTCGTCGAAAAGTGGCAAGCATCGCCTCAGCCACGATGACGTGCTTCATTTGCCTCCGCACTGGCAAAAAGGTGTTCAACATCAATTTGCCTTGCGGTAAGGGCCAGAATACCATCAAAGCGGACATCATCGAGTTTGTTGGCGATAAATCCGTAAGTGTTTACTTAATTTGATTTACTATTTGGGGGCCCAATTTTGTAGTCTCAGAAATTGGCCCATTAAAACAATTTTCGCCCCTAAAAAACTAGGGCCCCAAAATTTTAAAACTTGTCCCTTAACGTCTTGTAAAATGCACTAAAAAATAATATGAATATTTAAATCTAGAGGGTTGAATAATTGGCTTTGAATATTTGGCCAAAACATTACAAAGTTTGTTTTGGGGGCAAATGTAACATAACCTCAAAAAACACCTTTTTATGTGTTCAAAACATATTCAAAATCATTAGCATTTATTGGAAAAATATAATACTAATATTTATAATTATGTAATACATAATATACAGGGTGTCCGGAATAACTTGAAGTACATAGGACAATTTGAATTACAGAATACACTTTTTTCCTTTTTGGCCTCCTGTATAAGCTATTCCAAATTCAAAGAAGTTGATGACAGATTATTATTTTGTAGGCACTTGATTGCACAACTTTGGTTGACCCTGTTGTTTCTCAAATTCCCCATGTACTTTAGGTGATTCTGGACACCCTGTGTATTAAGTAAAAATGAAAATCATTCTTGTTCTCAGCCATTCAGTAAGTAGTTGCTGTAAAGTTTCTCAAAATATGTAATTTAATAATAACAATCTCTATTTATTTAGCAAATTTATTATATTATCATAATAAATGTAGATAAAATATTCATTGGCCTAAATTCCAACAATGTCCTTGTTCCTCACACAGCAAATAAATTGAAAAATTGTGTTGTTTAATTATTTTGCCCCTGATTTCTAGAAGAAGAGGATTTGAAGCTCATTTTTGTACCAAAATTTCATTGAATTTTTTTCTGTAAAACTGCAATGTTTTTTCCCTTATTTAGGTATTTGTGACTACTTTTATTTGTATTAATAAATGATTTCATGCTTTACAAGGTATTAGAAATGTTTATTTTATAATTTTTATAGGTAAGTATATGTATTTTAGACAATAAAGTTTTTTCTTGAATACTACCCATATTTGGAGGTTTGTAAACTAGGTATATACATACTTCCTTCATTGGTTATTATTTGTTTGAAATCTTCAGATAAATCTAGTAACAAACAATGTCCTTCACAATGTTCACTTTGAGTATTTACTTGATGCCCAAAATTTCTACTAATAATTTGAATTGATAAAATATAGATGCATATTTTAAGATAAATGACACAAAGTTTTAAGATATTTTTTTAATTCTTATAATCATTTGACAGAAATTGTGACTGCTTCTTCTAGGAGTTCTATATTGTGATGTAGTTTCAGCTCGAGTTTCAGGTAGTTTTTGACTTGCACATTGTTTCACAATACATACTGTCAATTATTATTATTTTTTTGGAAAGAGTTTGCAGCAAGGTTAGGAGACTTTTTGTTTGTCTTTTTTTAATATTTTTATATTCTTGTCTTTTGCTGTCAGTTATTGATTATCATAGATGGTAAGTATTTTCAATGTCTTATTTCTGGTATTCTATTTCTCAAGCTTTTTTTCTTAGTAGATTTTTTTAGCGTTTTTTAAATCTTGTACTTATAATAATAATAATAATAATGATAGTTAAATACTAAGTTTACAAAATAGCAAATTTACACATTAATCACAGAAGCAGAAATTATTCTACTTGTATGGGAATTGGAAACTAAGATCAAAAGACTTTCAAGCTTCGTAGCTGCGAAGTTATTGAAGTTGCATTGAAATTATTCACAGGAGATTTGTAGAGAATTTAATTGGCTTCAATTGAAACCTAATTACGTTGAGATTGGATTGAAATTAACAACGTTGTGTTTACAAAATGTAAGTTGGTGTCATTCTGGAAAACATCAAATTTCCAAAAAACTGCATTGAGGGAGGTTCTATTTTTTTCTGAGGAAATGTTTGAAGGTTATGATTGATATTTCGATATTTGGCAAATGGATACAGAAAAGATTGAAATTTGAGATAAAACATTAAAATTTGCTTCTGCTCTCTCATCTTAATGAACATCTAAGTCAGAAGATTTTGAAGCTTTGCAGCTGCAAAACTATTGAAGCTACATTGAAATAATTCAATTGGCTTCAATTGAAGCCTAATTACCGAGCTAATTACATTAAGATCGAATTGAAATTAACAAAGTTATGAGACATAATATGCGTTGGTATCATTTTGGATAAAAATCTAAGTCAAAAAGGTTTGAAACTGCAAAACCATTGAAATTGCATTGAAATATTCACAGAAGATTTGTTAAGAATTTAATTGAAGCCTGATTACATTAAAATCGGATTGAAATTATCAAAGTTGTGAGACAAAATGTGTGTTGGTGTCATTTTGGAAAAAAACACATTTCCAAAAAACTGCATTGAGGGAGGTTCTATTTTTATCCGAGGAAAATGTTTGAAGGAGTTGATTGATATTTATCTAATGCATAGAGAAAAGATTGAAATTTGAAAAAGAAAAAAAAATTGCTTCTGCTTTCTCATCTTAATAAAAATCTCAGTCAAAAGACTGTGAAGCTTTTTTGAGAAATTTGAGAATCAGAAACAAAACAAAAAAATAAAGATTCTTGAGAATGAAAAACATTCAACAGATATTTTGCAAATGAAAAACAAACTAGTCAGATTCAACAGAGAATCTTCTCTCTATCAAATAGGATTTCAACAAATTGCAAACTTTTCTCAAAAACTTAAACTCAACCAATCAATTTATTAGAAAACAGTGACACAGATCACCAAGATTCACCATTTAAGAACCAGAAATAAAAATAGTAAAGTTCACTATAGCATTTTTGGTCATTAATATTATAAAAATTACACTGTATCAAATTTTTCTTTGAGCTTTGTTGTTAAGGTATTGTTACAAAAATTTCAGTGTTCTCAGTCTTAGCAAACTCTGAACATTTCGTATTTTCAAAAACGCGCTTGCAGTCTTGAATAATTGAGTTCTTGGGCTCCCGTTTTTCGATTTGTTGCTGTTACACATTTTGCTAGGTATCTAATTAAAGATAAAAATCGAAGATACAGATGCGAAATTGCGGTGAATTCCAAGGATACTTAGGTATTTCACATCTGTATTTAGGTGATCTGTGACAGTGATTCACCCGAAGAATCACCTTATCAAATGCCTTTTCACAATCCGTGTACAGGACATCCAACTGCTCCCCTGCCTCAACAGCCTTTGAAATTTGCTCAGAGAGTTTTGTTAAAGTGAATTCATCCCTCACAAAACCATGCTGAAATTTGCTGATTGTTTTACACATTCCTATATTTTTTTATAAAGAATGTTTTTGAAGATTTTAGCCAAGCTGTTCAACAAACTAATAGGCCTTTAATTCAGATAGTTGACAACTTTAACACATCTGGAACGCATTCCTGCTCAACTGACATGCCAAAAATATAAGCCAAGGGTTCTGCCAATAGTTCTGCACATTCCTTATATTATATAATATGGTATTTCATCGTGGGAGGTGGATTTCTTGGGGTTAAGTTTTCCTATACTACTGATCACATCACTCTTAGTGATGTTTCTAATGTCACAAGTGCCCCATTTTTTATTTTCATAATGATAATTAGAGCAGTCAGACACACCATACACAGACGCAAAAGTATTCGCAATATTAGGAGCAGTGTTGCTAATGACCCGATAATTATCGAATTCCACCATAATTTTGACTACGATTCAATAATCGATATTGACAAGCTAATTTACCATAATTTATTGAAAATACAATTTTAATATAGATTTTTCAAATTTCTAGTTAAAAATTAATCGCTGTATGCAACATCCTCTTTAAACTTAAAAGCGCTTTTTAAAACTGGTACCTTTAAAAATTTGTATGGCTTAGAATAAAAAATCTTAAAAGTGCCCAGTTTTAAAACGCGCTTTTAAGTTAAAAGAGGATGTTGCATACAGCTGTAAAAATTTAAAAAAAAAGTTGGTTGTTGGTTTTGAGTGTTTTGACGTACTGGTGCGAGCACCAAACACTAGTCCCAGATTGAGCCAAAGTTTCATGCCAATAACTTTACTGGTTTCCAAAATATGGCCCTTTGAAATATTTGAAAAACAAGTTTCCATGCATACGCCCTTTGGAAAAATTCGAATTTTTAAATGTTTGTATTTTGCAATGTTTGAGGAGATCAAAATTAGTGAAAAAGCATTTTTGCAACTTTGTTTTTAGAGTTTTAAAGCCTTGTAAAAAAATAAAAACGATTTTTGCAATTTTTGGGCTCAAAAAAGTTCAATAATCTGACACTCCTTCACAAAATTGCTGATTACTCGGTTATTATTATAACAAATATGATCTAAAATTATATATTCTGAATCAGAATTAAATTATCTTCAAGATAAAATAAGATTCAATTCTATATCTTGAATACTTCTGAAGATATTGAGGCTCAAAGTTGAAACTTTACCTCAAATTTTGCAAAAGCTTCCATGCGGATTATCTTGAAAACGAAGCCCTTGGGCTCGGAGTCTTAAATAACCTTTTTTGTAGCCCCTATTGAGAGCTACAATTGGGCAAAAGATTCATGCCAATAGCTTCACTGGTTTCCAAAATATGGCCCTTTGAATTATTTGAAAATCAAGTTTCCATGCATATACCCCTTTGGAAAAATTCGAATTTTTAAATTTTATGGATTTTGCAATTTTTGATTTCACCAATAGAAAGAAGAGGTTGAAATTAGTAGAAAAGCATTTTCAGAACTTTCCTTTTTGGGTTTTAAAGCCTTGTTAAAAAATAGAAACGATTTTTGCAATTTTTGGGCTCAAAAAATTTCATTAATCTGACATTCCTTCACAAAATTGCTGATTATTCGGTTATTATTATAACAAATATGATCTAAAATTATATATTCTGAATCAGAATTAAATTATCTTCAAGATAAAATAAGATTCAATTCTATATCTTGAATACTTCTGAAGATATTGAGGCTCAAAGTTGAAACTTTATCTCAAATTTTGCAAAAGCTTTCAGGCGGATTATCTTGAAAACGAAGCCCTTGGGCTCGGAGTCTTAAATAACCTTTCTTGTAGCCCTTATTGAGAACTACAATTGGGCAAAAGATTCATGCCAATAGCTTCACTGGTTTCCAAAATATGGCCCTTTGAATTATTTGAAAATCAAGTTTCCATGCATATACATACCCCTTTGGAAAAATTCGAATTTTTAAATTTTATGGATTTTGCAATTTTTGATTTCATCAATCGAAAGAAGAAGTTAAAATTAGTAGAAAAGCATTTTCAGAACTTTCCTTTTTAGGTTTTAAAGCCTTGTTAAAAAATAGAAACGATTTTTGCAAGTTTTGGGCTCAAAAAATTTCATTAATCTGACACTCCTTCACAAAATTGCTGATTATTCGGTTATTATTATAACAAATATGATCTGAAATTATATATTCCGAATCAGAATTAAATTATCTTCAAGATAAAATAAGACTCAATTCTATATCTTGAATACTTCTGAAGATATTGAGGCTCAAAGTTGAAACTTTATCTCAAATTTTGCAAAAGCTTTTAGGCGGATTATCTTGAAAACGAAGCCCTTGGGCTCAGAGTCTTAAATAACCTTTTTTGTAGCCCTTATTGAGAGCTGCAATTGGGCGAAAGATTGATGCCAATAGCTTTACTGGTTTCCAAAATATGGCTCTTTGAATTATTTGAAAATCAAATTTCCATGATACCCCTTTGGAAAAGTTCGAATTTTTAAATTTTTGGAATTTGCAATTTTTGACTTTACTAATTTTGATTTTCACCTCTTCCTTTGGGAAGAGGTGAAAATTAGTGGAAAAGCATTTACGCAACTTTGTTTTAAGGGTTTTAAGGCTTGTAAAAAATAAAAACGATATTTGCAATTTTTGGGCTGAAAAAATTTCAATAATCTGATATTCTTTCACAAAATTGCTGATTACTCGGTTATTATTATAACAAATATGATCTGAAATTATATATTCCGAATCAGAATTAAATTATCTTCAAGATAAAATAAGACTCAATTCTATATCTTGAATACTTCTGAAGATATTGAGGCTCAAAGTTGAAACTTTATCTCAAATTTTGCAAAAGCTTTTAGGCGGATTATCTTGAAAACGAAGCCCTTGGGCTCAGAGTCTTAAATAACCTTTTTTGTAGCCCTTATTGAGAGCTGCAATTGGGCGAAAGATTGATGCCAATAGCTTTACTGGTTTCCAAAATATGGCTCTTTGAATTATTTGAAAATCAAATTTCCATGATACCCCTTTGGAAAAGTTCGAATTTTTAAATTTTTGGAATTTGCAATTTTTGACTTTACTAATTTTGATTTTCACCTCTTCCTTTGGGAAGAGGTGAAAATTAGTGGAAAAGCATTTACGCAACTTTGTTTTAAGGGTTTTAAGGCTTGTAAAAAATAAAAACGATATTTGCAATTTTTGGGCTGAAAAAATTTCAATAATCTGATATTCTTTCACAAAATTGCTGATTACTCGGTTATTATTATAACAAATATGATCTAAAATTATATATTCTGAATCAGAATTAAATTATCTTCAAGATAAAATAAGATTCAATTCTATATCTTGAATACTTCTGAAGATATTGAGGCTCAAAGTTGAAACTTTACCTCAAATTTTGCAAAAGCTTCCATGCGGATTATCTTGAAAACGAAGCCCTTGGGCTCGGAGTCTTAAATAACCTTTTTTGTAGCCCCTATTGAGAGCTACAATTGGGCAAAAGATTCATGCCAATAGCTTCACTGGTTTCCAAAATATGGCCCTTTGAATTATTTGAAAATCAAGTTTCCATGCATATACCCCTTTGGAAAAATTCGAATTTTTAAATTTTATGGATTTTGCAATTTTTGATTTCACCAATAGAAAGAAGAGGTTGAAATTAGTAGAAAAGCATTTTCAGAACTTTCCTTTTTGGGTTTTAAAGCCTTGTTAAAAAATAGAAACGATTTTTGCAATTTTTGGGCTCAAAAAATTTCATTAATCTGACATTCCTTCACAAAATTGCTGATTATTCGGTTATTATTATAACAAATATGATCTAAAATTATATATTCTGAATCAGAATTAAATTATCTTCAAGATAAAATAAGATTCAATTCTATATCTTGAATACTTCTGAAGATATTGAGGCTCAAAGTTGAAACTTTATCTCAAATTTTGCAAAAGCTTTCAGGCGGATTATCTTGAAAACGAAGCCCTTGGGCTCGGAGTCTTAAATAACCTTTCTTGTAGCCCTTATTGAGAACTACAATTGGGCAAAAGATTCATGCCAATAGCTTCACTGGTTTCCAAAATATGGCCCTTTGAATTATTTGAAAATCAAGTTTCCATGCATATACATACCCCTTTGGAAAAATTCGAATTTTTAAATTTTATGGATTTTGCAATTTTTGATTTCATCAATCGAAAGAAGAAGTTAAAATTAGTAGAAAAGCATTTTCAGAACTTTCCTTTTTAGGTTTTAAAGCCTTGTTAAAAAATAGAAACGATTTTTGCAAGTTTTGGGCTCAAAAAATTTCATTAATCTGACACTCCTTCACAAAATTGCTGATTATTCGGTTATTATTATAACAAATATGATCTGAAATTATATATTCCGAATCAGAATTAAATTATCTTCAAGATAAAATAAGACTCAATTCTATATCTTGAATACTTCTGAAGATATTGAGGCTCAAAGTTGAAACTTTATCTCAAATTTTGCAAAAGCTTTTAGGCGGATTATCTTGAAAACGAAGCCCTTGGGCTCAGAGTCTTAAATAACCTTTTTTGTAGCCCTTATTGAGAGCTGCAATTGGGCGAAAGATTGATGCCAATAGCTTTACTGGTTTCCAAAATATGGCTCTTTGAATTATTTGAAAATCAAATTTCCATGATACCCCTTTGGAAAAGTTCGAATTTTTAAATTTTTGGAATTTGCAATTTTTGACTTTACTAATTTTGATTTTCACCTCTTCCTTTGGGAAGAGGTGAAAATTAGTGGAAAAGCATTTACGCAACTTTGTTTTAAGGGTTTTAAGGCTTGTAAAAAATAAAAACGATATTTGCAATTTTTGGGCTGAAAAAATTTCAATAATCTGATATTCTTTCACAAAATTGCTGATTACTCGGTTATTATTATAACAAATATGATGTGAAATTATATATTCTGAATCAGAATTAAATTATCTTCAAGATAAAATAAGATTCAATTCTATATCTTAAATACTTTTGAAGATATTGAGGCTCAAAGTTGAAACTTTGTCTCAAATTTTGCAAAAGCTTCAAAGCCGATTATCTTGAAAATGAAGCCCTTGGGCTCGAAGTCTTGAATAACCTTTTTTGAAACTCTTATTGAGAGCTACAATTGCCAGAGTCCCAGCTAGAATCCGAAAAATGAAAATAGAGATAAAAAGTCAAAAAAGTTGACAGAAACTTTTTCTGATAATTTTTCTTGGAATCTGATAATTTTGTTTTCAAATCCTGATAATTTTAAATTTGACATCTGACAACTCTGATCAGGAGGTTCATCAAACTTATCGTTATTCAGTTTCATATGCACTGGAATATCAGCACTCTTGGATTTTGATTTAAAGAAAGTCCAGAATTTGCTAGGATCAGTAACCACATTATTTTCAATTAAAATTCTATACAAACTGTACTCAGATTTAGTTTGACTTTTAATTTCAGTTTTCAAAAGCTGATACCCTACAGCTTCCGGATTCTCAGTTATTGATACTTATGATGAAGCCTATTTTTTTTTTTCTTGATCTTACGGATCAAATTTGAGAAAAACCAGTTAGAAAACTTGGCACAAGTATTGGGTTTTATTTTTGTTTTTGGAATTTGTACATGTTCTTATAAAATGCATTAAAACCTACACTAACATCTTGACACAAAAATACTAAAGACGAGTCACATTCTGGAGATCAACTGATAAAAAAAGATAGTAACCTTGAGCATAGTTGTAGGTATGTGCCCTTTTATTGACCAACTCAGTATGTGTCTCCTTCATTGTAATACCAACATTTGAATTAAGGGCTGGGTGATACATATCTTCAGGGAACAAAGGATCATCAAACCTAGTGACATTAAAGACATTCATGTTTGTAAAAATAAGGTCCAAAAATATATTCATACCATAAGGAACACTATTTACTTGATTTAGGTTGTATATATTAAGGCTGTGGTCCAAATATAACCAGGGTTCAATCAAATTACTCTGGTTCCTGGAAAAGTGGTTACTTTTGGACCTTGGTTTCCTGAAATCTGGTTAACCAAATGTTAAAATAGTTACCAGCTATCAAATGTCGGTTCTGTTGCTTTTATCTGTAAATTCTGTCAATTATTTTTTATTTCATATTTGCGTTCCCCAAGTAACCGGAATTTTCAATAACCATCTGTCAAGCTATTTGGTTACTTTGTAACTGAGTAACCAAATCGATAAATGTAAGATTTTGAAAACAAATATCGTAAAAAATGCCACTCTCATAAACCCACATCTGGAACACGTTTTAACACTAAACCGTACTAAAAGCTGAAAGTATCTATTTCTTTTACCGAGAAATTTTTATTATTTTATATATATATATATATATATATATATATATATATATATATATATATATATATATATATATATATATATATATATATATGAGTCTTTTACAGTTCTTATTACAGCATAAAAATGTATGTATAAGATTTTGTTTTGAATATTTTCTCTTATTTTCCAGATCGCAGCATATTTAACAGACGACCACAATTGCTGTTCAGTATGTATGAACGTCCTGGACGACATCGTCCGCTACAAGGACAAATTAGTCGATCAAATAATGAAAAGGAACCTGACCCAACCAGATTTGGGCAGGATTTGGAATTTCGTAGCCAAAAGCGAGGCCAAGAGCGAATTCAAAGAAAAAAGCGACCCGATGTCGCACTTAAGATCCGTCACTTCGCCTCTATCCTCCAGAGCCTCGACTCCGTCGATTTACTACGTTAAAAAAACCAAGTCTTATGACAATCTGTTGGAAAAGGAAGTCGAAAGGCGAGAATCTTACAAGAGGGACATGCAGCATTATGCCAGACAATGCGCTGCAAAAAAAATCGATTTAGCCACCAGAGAAAAATACTTAATAAAATCAAAATCAAAGAAAATGAAAAGAGATATTGTCAATAACTTCTCAAGAAATATGTACGATAGACCAGTCAGCTCAGCAAGCGAACTAAGCTGCGTCAGCTATATGGCAGAAGAAAAACGCCAACCGCCTCAGCCAGTAAAACGCAAAATCATTTACGACGGCGACGAAATCGTTTTTCCATTGAAAAGAACCAGATCAGTGTCGAGGAGTCACCAGGAAAATGTCCACGAAAGGGAGAAAAAGAAGGCTCTGCTCGATGGACAACAGTTGGAAGACACGATGGACACTTGCGAAGTTTGCAAGTGCAGCTGCTTCAGGAATATGGACATTTATACGGCTCACATGGTACAAGTGCACGGATTGAGCGGCCGGTTTGGATGCAAATATTGTGACAATCAATATTTGACAAAGTAAGTTATTTTGTTTTAGTTGTATTTTTGTTTTCAGTTAATTAATTTGCAATTTAGTAAGCAGTGAAAGGAAGGTTTGAAGCATGTTTTAGTAAATTTTCAAGTTGATTGAGTGAAAATTTTAAAAAATACAGCCTGAAATAGTTTGATTAGGAAGGGAATTTTTCAATAATTTACACACAAAGATGTAAATTATTTTCTTACTCTTGAACTGTTTCAAGTATTAATTTGCAATTTGGAGAGGAGTGAAAGGAAGGTTTGAAGCATGTTTTAGTAAATTTTCAAGTTGATTGAGTGAAAACTTTGAAAAATGCAGCCCGAAATAGTTTGAATATTAAGGGAATTTTTCAATAATTTAAACAGAGGGATCTAAATGATTATCCTACTCATGAACTGTTTCAAGTATTAATTTGAAATTTGGAGAGGAGTGAAAGGAAGGTTTGAAGCATGTTTTAGTAAATTTTCAAGTTGATTGAGTGAAAACTTTGAAAAATACACCTTAAAATAATTTGGTGCGGAAGGGAATTTTTCAATAATTTACACACAAGGATGTAAATGAGGAGTGAAAGGAAGGTCTGTGAAGCATGTTTTAGTGAATTTTCAAGTTGATTGAGTGAAAAACTTTGGAAAATACAGCTTGAAATAGTTTGATGAGGAAGGGTATTTTTGAATAATTTACACACAAGGATGTGAATGATTTTTTTACTCTTGAACTGTTCCAAGTATCAATTTGCAATTTAGTGAGGAGTGAAAGAAAGGTTTGAAGCATGTTCTAGTAGATTTTGAGTGAAAACTTTCCAGTAATCCAAATTTCAACTCTAGGTTTGCCTGGAATAGGAATTTTACGCCTCTACAAACTGCGAAAGTCTTGATTTTTGAGCGTCTTTATGTCAACTCTAAATCTATGAAAACTTGATATTTTTTGGGTTCCTCTAAATCTTCAAATGTTGTTTTTGTTTGATGTTAATACAAAATTCAGGATTGTTTGATTTTGTGTGAAATTCTAAAAAAAATTCCCTCAAACTTTCGCATCAAAAACACCCATTTATTTCCAGAGAACACCTCGCCTACCACATATCAAAAACCCATCGGAATTCGATAGCGTGTCCGATATGCAAAACAATAAATCCGGACAGCAATTCCGAAACATTTGCCAGCCACATGGAGCAACACATAAAAGAACTCTACGCCTGTCGTTTTTGCAACAAGCCCTTCGACACCAAAGAGAACCTGAACGAGCACATTTTCACCAAACACAAACGGAAAAGGTTGTTTTACACCAAAAACGAAGTCCGGATTTTATCGAATTGCACCTATAAACCTGAAGTTGTCGAAAATAAAACCCCCAGAAAATACAAGTGGATTGATTACGGAAATGTTTTGGAAAAAGATGAGGTTGGGTTTAAGCCCAGCACTTGGCAGGATTGTGATTATGAAGATCAGGACGAGGAAACTTTTGAAAGGTTAACTGGAACACCGGACTCAGAAGGCAGCATGTACGAGTACAAAGGTATTCCGCCAAAGAATACCATCAGCAGGAAATGCGGAACAGCTTTACGTCCAGGTTCTTCTTTGAGCTTAAAATCGACCAGCTCCAGCGGTTATTATACAAATTTTTCAAAAGGAGGACGAAATATTTCAGGGGAAAGTGGCCGGTCTACGCCTTGGTCAGTTGTTGGAGGGTAAGAATAATTAATTTATTTAGTTGATTATAGTGTTAACATTAAAATTCCAGCGAGGAAGATCAAGAAGTAATGAGGGCGATGAACAATCAAACTCCTTTCGATTTGGGCTCTGTAAGGGATTTGGAATCCAGAAATACTGAAGTGGCTGAAATTTTGGCTGGAGAAGAAGATGAATATGAGTAAGTATGATAGTTAATTAAAACTGAAATAAAAATTTAATAAAAAAAAAAAAAAAATTAGTCCGCAATCTTACGAGGACAGCGCTGAGGAGGTGGATAGGGAAAGTAACAGTGACGATATGGATATTATGGAGAATCAATATTTGGTTAACAATAGTTTTGTTTCTTCGATCAATTATACAGACGCGGAGCTTTGAAGGAATGCGGATTTTGTAATTTAATTATGTAGGTTTTAATTTTATTTGAAATTTTTATTTTTTACAACCAAAGTTTAAATACAAATTGCAAAAACAAAAAACAAAAAAAAAATGTAAAATAAGTTAGAAGTAGGTTTTATTAATCTATATAGGACAGTTTTGTTGTATGCACTGTTTTTTTTTTTTCGTTTCTTGACCAGTTTTCAGATGTAGTTGGGCCAAGGCAAATTATTTTTCTTGTATTAAATTTACGTAGTTTAGGTAAGATTAAATTAATTGTTGAGGAAAAAAAATAAAAACCTTTTTTTAAAAAAAAAAATCTAAATTTCATGGCTATCCTTCGCCCATAACCAGTTCATTTTGATGGAGAGTGTGTGCGCCTATAGTTTGTATTTGAATAATTCTCGTTCTTAGTTTTTCTCTATTTGGCCGTGATTTTGAAATTAAAAATGAAATGAATTTTTTTGGAAAATTACTGGAGGGAAAGTTATGAAACTTTTCAGTGGAAAAGAGGAAAGTTAGGAGCTCATCATACTAAAATTTCAAACTTTTCCATTAAAAAATAACAGAATGGGAAATTAATGAAAATCAACTTGTAAAATTTAAATTGGGCAAAAATGCAGCCTCTTACATTCAAATTTTTTTCTAGAAAACTACTGAAGGAAAAATTGTGAAACTTTTAGGGGAAAAAGAAAAAAGTTAGGAGCTCATCATATTGAAATTTCAAAGTTTTTCAGTGAAAAATAACAGAATGGAAAGTTAAGGCAAAAATGCAGCCTCTCACATTCCAACTTTTTTCTGGAAAACTACTGAAGGGAAAATCATGAAACTTTTAGGAGAAAAAGAGGAAAATTAGGAGCTCATCATACTAATATTTCAAACTTTTCCAGTGACTATTTCACTAGAGTGTTTTACACTGGCAAAATGTCATAGGAACGGCCGGTTTCCTACTGATAAAACTCCTACCTGTTCCTACCTGGACAAAACCAACATGATGGTTTTTCAGCGATAAAATTTTGTGTGGTTAATGTAAAAAACTATTGAGTTTGACAAGTGTCACCTAAAGAAAATAAATTCTCCAAATGAAAATTTGGCTTGTTTCTCTCGTGAAATAGTCCAGCCGAATACCACTCAAGAAAAAATTATGTAGGCAAAATTATTCTCTTGGTTTTATTCAAGTTTGTTGCTTTTTGGTAATTTCACTCATGAAATTTTTGACAAAACCACGAGCCGTCAGGCGAAATGTCATTCGCGAAATTGCCAAGCAACAAACTTGCATACCAGTCGAAAATTTTGCCAACAAAATTTTTTCTCTTGTGGTATTATATATGAAAAATAACAGAATAGGAAAGTAATGGAAATATACCTGTGAAATCTAAATTAAGCAAAAAAGGCATTCTTTTACATTTTGATATTTTTCTGGAAAACTGCTTAAGGGAAAATTGTGAAACTTTCAGGAGAAAAAGAGAAAAGTTAGGAGTTCATTATACTAAAATTTCAAACTTTTCCAGTGAAAAATAACAAAATGGAAAAATTAATGAAAATCTACTCGTGAAATCTAAATTTAGCAAAAAAGGCATTCTTTTACATTTTGATATTTTTCTGGAAAACTGCTTAAGGGAAAATTGTGAAACTTTCAGGAGAAAAAGAGAAAAGTTAGGAGTTCATTATACTAAAATTTCAAACTTTTCCAGTGAAAAATAACAAAATGGAAAAATTAATGAAAATCTACTCGTGAAATCTAAATTTAGCAAAAAAGGCATTCTTTTACATTTTGATATTTTTCTGGAAAACTGCTTAAGGGAAAATTGTGAAACTTTCAGGAGAAAAAGAGAAAAGTTAGGAGTTCATTATACTAAAATTTCAAACTTTTCCAGTGAAAAATAACAAAATGGAAAAATTAATGAAAATCTACTCGTGAAATCTAAATTTAGCAAAAAAGGCATTCTTTTACATTTTGATATTTTTCTGGAAAACTGCTTAAGGGAAAATTGTGAAACTTTCAGGAGAAAAAGAGAAAAGTTAGGAGTTCATTATACTAAAATTTCAAACTTTTCCAGTGAAAAATAACAAAATGGAAAAATTAATGAAAATCTACTCGTGAAATCTAAATTTAGCAAAAAAGGCATTCTTTTACATTTTGATATTTTTCTGGATAACTGCTTAAGGGAAAATTCTGAAACTTTCAGGAGAAAAAGAGAAAAGTTAGGAGTTCATTATACTAAAATTTCAAACTTTTCCAGTGAAAAATAACAAAATGGAAAAATTAATGAAAATCTACTCGTGAAATCTAAATTTAGCAAAAAAGGCATTCTTTTACATTTTGATATTTTTCTGGAAAACTGCTTAAGGGAAAATTGTGAAACTTTCAGGAGAAAAAGAGAAAAGTTAGGAGTTCATTATACTAAAATTTCAAACTTTTCCAGTGAAAAATAACAAAATGGAAAAATTAATGAAAATCTACTCGTGAAATCTAAATTTAGCAAAAAAGGCATTCTTTTACATTTTGATATTTTTCTGGAAAACTGCTTAAGGGAAAATTGTGAAACTTTCAGGAGAAAAAGAGAAAAGTTAGGAGTTCATTATACTAAAATTTCAAACTTTTCCAGTGAAAAATAACAAAATGGAAAAATTAATGAAAATCTACTCGTGAAATCTAAATTTAGCAAAAAAGGCATTCTTTTACATTTTGATATTTTTCTGGATAACTGCTTAAGGGAAAATTGTGAAACTTTCAGGAGAAAAAGAGAAAAGTTAGGAGTTCATTATACTAAAATTTCAAACTTTTCCAGTGAAAAATAACAAAATGGAAAAATTAATGAAAATCTACTCGTGAAATCTAAATTTAGCAAAAAAGGCATTCTTTTACATTTTGATATTTTTCTGGAAAACTGCTTAAGGGAAAATTGTGAAACTTTCAGGAGAAAAAGAGAAAAGTTAGGAGTTCATTATACTAAAATTTCAAACTTTTCCAGTGAAAAATAACAAAATGGAAAAATTAATGAAAATCTACTCGTGAAATCTAAATTTAGCAAAAAAGGCATTCTTTTACATTTTGATATTTTTCTGGAAAACTGCTTAAGGGAAAATTGTGAAACTTTCAGGAGAAAAAGAGAAAAGTTAGGAGTTCATTATACTAAAATTTCAAACTTTTCCAGTGAAAAATAACAAAATGGAAAAATTAATGAAAATCTACTCGTGAAATCTAAATTTAGCAAAAAAGGCATTCTTTTACATTTTGATATTTTTCTGGATAACTGCTTAAGGGAAAATTGTGAAACTTTCAGGAGAAAAAGAGAAAAGTTAGGAGTTCATTATACTAAAATTTCAAACTTTTCCAGTGAAAAATAACAAAATGGAAAAATTAATGAAAATCTACTCGTGAAATCTAAATTTAGCAAAAAAGGCATTCTTTTACATTTTGATATTTTTCTGGAAAACTGCTTAAGGGAAAATTGTGAAACTTTCAGGAGAAAAAGAGAAAAGTTAGGAGTTCATTATACTAAAATTTCAAACTTTTCCAGTGAAAAATAACAAAATGGAAAAATTAATGAAAATCTACTCGTGAAATCTAAATTTAGCAAAAAAGGCATTCTTTTACATTTTGATATTTTTCTGGAAAACTGCTTAAGGGAAAATTGTGAAACTTTCAGGAGAAAAAGAGAAAAGTTAGGAGTTCATTATACTAAAATTTCAAACTTTTCCAGTGAAAAATAACAAAATGGAAAAATTAATGAAAATCTACTCGTGAAATCTAAATTTAGCGCAAAAAAGGCATTCTTTTACATTTTGATATTTTTCTGGAAAACTGCTTAAGGGAAAATTGTGAAACTTTCAGGAGAAAAAGAGAAAAGTTAGGAGTTCATTATACTAAAATTTCAAACTTTTCCAGTGAAAAATAACAAAATGGAAAAATTAATGAAAATCTACTCGTGAAATCTAAATTTAGCAAAAAAGGCATTCTTTTACATTTTGATATTTTTCTGGAAAACTGCTTAAGGGAAAATTGTGAAACTTTCAGGAGAAAAAGAGAAAAGTTAGGAGTTCATTATACTAAAATTTCAAACTTTTCCAGTGAAAAATAACAAAATGGAAAAATTAATGAAAATCTACTCGTGAAATCTAAATTTAGCAAAAAAGGCATTCTTTTACATTTTGATATTTTTCTGGAAAACTGCTTAAGGGAAAATTGTGAAACTTTCAGGAGAAAAAGAGAAAAGTTAGGAGTTCATTATACTAAAATTTCAAACTTTTCCAGTGAAAAATAACAAAATGGAAAAATTAATGAAAATCTACTCGTGAAATCTAAATTTAGCAAAAAAGGCATTCTTTTACATTTTGATATTTTTCTGGAAAACTGCTTAAGGGAAAATTGTGAAACTTTCAGGAGAAAAAGAGAAAAGTTAGGAGTTCATTATACTAAAATTTCAAACTTTTCCAGTGAAAAATAACAAAATGGAAAAATTAATGAAAATCTACTCGTGAAATCTAAATTTAGCAAAAAAGGCATTCTTTTACATTTTGATATTTTTCTGGAAAACTGCTTAAGGGAAAATTGTGAAACTTTCAGGAGAAAAAGAGAAAAGTTAGGAGTTCATTATACTAAAATTTCAAACTTTTCCAGTGAAAAATAACAAAATGGAAAAATTAATGAAAATCTACTCGTGAAATCTAAATTTAGCAAAAAAGGCATTCTTTTACATTTTGATATTTTTCTGGAAAACTGCTTAAGGGAAAATTGTGAAACTTTCAGGAGAAAAAGAGAAAAGTTAGGAGTTCATCATACTAAAATTTCAAACAAAGAAAAATAACAGAATGGGAAACTAATGAAAATCTACTTATAAAATTTAAATTAGACCAAAATCCACCCTCTTACATTTTAATTTTTTTCTGGAAAATTGTAAAATTTTTAGGGGAAAAGGAGGAAAGTTAGGAGTTCATTATACTAAAATTTCATTTTTTTGTAGTAAAACACAACATCATGACAAATTAACTTGCAAAATCCAAATTATGCAAAAATGCATTCTCTTACATTTTGATATTTTTCTGGGAAACCATTGAAGGGAAAATTTTGAAACTTTCAGGAGGAAAACAGGAAAGTTAGGAGCTCATCATACTAAAATTTCAAACTTTTCCAGTGAAAAATAACAAAATGGAAAAATTAATGAAAATCTACTTGCAAAATCTAAATTAAGTAAAAATGCACCATCTTACATTTTGATATTTTTCTGAAAAACTACTGAAGGCAAATTATAAAACTTTCAGGAGGAAAAGAGGAAAGTTAAGAGCTTATCACACTGAAATTTCAAATTTTTCCAGTGAAAGATAACTGAATGGGAAATTATATTGTAAAATCTAAATTAAGCAAAAATGCACCCTTTTACATTTTAATTTTTTTCTGGAAATATAGTGGAGGGAAAATTATGAAAATCTCAGAGAAAAAACAGGAAAGTTAAGAGCTTACTATATCGAAATTTCAAACTTTTCCAGTGAAAAATAATATGATAAGAAATTAATGAAAATCTACTTGCAAAATCTAAATTAGGCAAAAATGCACCCTCTTATATTTTCATATTTTTCTGGAAAACTACTGGAGAGAAAATTATGAAATTTTCAGGAGGAAAAAAGGAAAGTTAGGAGTTCATCATACTAAAATTTCAAACTTTTCCAGTGAAAAATAACAGATTGGAAAATTAATGAAAATAAAATTGCAAAATCTAAATTAAGCAAAAATGCACCCTCTTACATTTTATTTTTTTTCTGGAAAACCACATAAAGGAAAATTATGAAAATTTCAGGGAAAAAAGAGGGAAGTTAGGAGCTCATCATACTAGAATTTCAAATTTTTCCAGTGAAAAATAATAGAATGGGATTTTTTTTTTCCTTTATTTCAACATGGTAGTTAAACAATATATGTATGAACCGAAACTAGAGATCCTGAGCTGGAGAGCTATACGGGTCATTCAGTATCACATATAACATTATTACAATATACCGTATTATTTTATACATTATACAATATCACACAAGAGAAAATATCCAGTACAAGTAGGTACTGTATCACAAAGTTGTTTCATTTATGAATATCTTAGCTCTAAATTGCAGATAAAGTCTTTCATTGTACAGTCCCAAAGTATGCTGCTTCAGCTTACACTTGAAGCAAGTTATGTTCAATCTTTTAACAGGTTGTGAAATTCGATTGTAGTACCTTAGTCCTTCTGATAAGATGCTTCGTTGGCCAGTTGTAGTGTTCATTGCCGACGCTCTTAAGTTTTCA